TTGCCCTTTCTCTCTATTTATTTCCCTTTTGTCCACCCTACAAATATCTTTTGTAAAATGTACATGAATGGCCCGTGGTTTCCATCGGTCCTCTGTCCTGGAATCAACTCTGTCCAGACCCAGGCTTTGGATCTGTGAGTGACGCAAGAAGCTGTTTTTGGCTTCGGGAATGTTTTCTTCTATGTTCTGACTCCCCTCTTGTTGTCCTTCTTTCCTCTCCATCTTCTCTCCACCTCTCTTCCCCAGACACCCCCACTGTTTCTCTCTTCCTGTTTTCTTAGTTTCTTCCCCGCTCCTTGGTGGCCAAAGCACCAATCAATCACAGCCGCTGCCACAATCTCAGTTCTATCTGTGGCTCCTCTGTCTCCATGATTAAACAAGATAGGAGCAGCCTTTCCAAGGACAGACCATCTCCACAGTAGCCTGTGGGAGGCTGCCTGGCGAGGTCAAGCCTGCCAATAAGAGCATTTCCTTGCAGCTGCAAGGCTCGGGAGAGCAAACTGACAGCGAGCTGCACAAGTTTGCCACGACACACTTAAGTTGTTTTGCTCTGCAAAAACATGGGAAAATTCTGATAAATTCCAGATGATTTCAAAACACATTCGGGGGTCAGATATACAAAAGGCAGATAAAATCTAAATTAGGTAAGTACAAGTTGATGCACAAATCTCCATTTGGGTCCAAACATCTTGCAGATTGGAAGGCTTTAAATTTGACAATTCCCAGTTAGGGATGATAAAAATTGAACTTTGCTCTCCTTAAACCCCAAGCCATTATGAGAAGAGAGGGTTCACTCAAAGTTGAAGTCAAATGGTTAGTAAAAAGCAGAAGCAAATGAATGATCATTAGGAAGGTTTTTATGCTGTTAAGACACTTGAATAGCTGGAAAGACAAAAGAGTATATAGAAGATACTCATCACTGGGTCCTCATGAGCGATATATCTTCACAGTGTAAGCTAACACACCTGTTCCATTGTCCCTGTTCTAAGAAGACGGGCTCCATGTTGATGTTGAAGGCAGGCAGTGGATTTTTCCTTACAGTCCTTATACTGTGACCTGCATTCATCAATACTGTCAAGGATTATTGAGCCAGTTGTAGCCATATGTCTGAATAAAAGTTAGACCTTTCATTTTACGCAGTTAATAAATTTTCTTTTTTTTTCCTCACTGTTCAATTAAAAATTTTTGTACCTATAGAAAAGCTGAAAAAAGCATAAGAAACACTAAACTAGTTTCACCAATGGGACATTCTTTTATATAAGTATCATGCTATTCATACTACCAAGATACTCAGCATTGATACACTGCTATCCAATATTAAATGCGTATTTAAATTTTTCCAATTGTCTCAGAAATATTTTATTACCTTTCATGACATGGACATTTTTGAAGAGTCCAGGCTACTGCTTCGTAAATGTGCCCGTAACCCGAATTTGTCTGATTGTTTCTTTGTGATTAGATCCAGGCCAAACATTTTTGCCCAAAACACTATTCAGGTGACAGTGTAGACTTCCATTGCATCATATCAGGAGGCACTGATGTCAATTTCTCCTGGTATTGGTGATACAAAGTTTGATCACTTGGTTAAGGTGGTGACTGCCATATTTTCCACTGTAAAAGTATCCTTTTCCATTGTGCTTGAATCCCAAGCACAAGGGGGGGTGGGTAGCAGAGTGTTAATTTTCTAATTTTGTCATTCCTTTTGTACATATTAGATGGAATCTTTAGTATCAAACCCGGGTCTTTCTGATGTCAAAGTTCATGCTCTTTCTGCTACAGGAGCTACCTCTCCAATATGTAAACAAATGAAGCTAATCATCTGAAGCTGCTGGGACAATAAAGCATTTTAATTTCATCTCTTGTTTAGAGGTCTGTTTTCTTTTACCTTGACAAAAACAGTCCCCTTTCTGTAAGTTTGAGACCCACTTAAAAAAAAAAAAAAAGAACAAGATGCATGCAGAGCTATTTCTAGGGCTCACATGTAAAGAGGTAGAGAGTGTCCAAATCAGCTTCTCTCCTTCAGCATTGCTGACATTATCCCACCCTTTGGGGGGGATTTAGGTTACATTTCTTTCTTTCTTTTTTTTTTTCAGTGGCAAAGCTGGATTGAAGAGGAGTTTGGCACAACCTCTGCCATTCTTTCCTGAGCAAAGACCGCTGGATCCCCCTAGGTAAGGGGGAAGGTAGGGTCTGCAAAGCAGCCTCCAAGGAGGATTGATTGCACACCCCCTTCCTGTGGTGCCAAATGGGAGGCAGGGGGCGCTGGAGGGGGACAGGAGGTGGCAGGGGCCCTGTGAGCCTTGCTGGCTGCAGACACCGGGAACACAGAAGACATGGCCCATCTGAGAGGAAGCCCTGGTCACAAGCAGAATTACACTCTCTCCTTTCCAATTAGCTGCCTTCTCTGCAAGTCTCTTTGCTTTAAGGAAGCTGGTGCGGGTAGATTCCTGAGGAAACGTGTGGCTGGGAAAATACACAGCGAGAAATCCCTGGTTCTACCTCTGTCCCTTTTCTTCTTCACATTAAGGGGCAACAATTCTTCTAATCACGAATAAATTCAGGTTTATAAGTCACACTGGCAGTATCAGGGTTAGCCTGCCAGTGTTACAAACCCTAAAAAAGCCCCCCCAGATTAAAACAAAAAATATTCTCTTTGTTTGCCATCTTTGTACTGTTTAACATGAGTATTTCAACAGTCTTTATTTTCCAAACACGCAAACAGGGGAGAGTGATCTGACCCACAGTATATTGACATACCATGTAGCTATAACCTTGAGATAAAAAGTAAAGGAAAAAGTCAAAACAGCCCAAACCAGATACTAACACAAACAAGTCTTTCCTCAGTCCAGACCCCTTCCCTCTGTAGCAAGGGCAACACTAGGATTAGCACAGAGCGGCTAGCACTCTGTGGTTAGCACTATGTGTGGCATAGTGGACACACTTACCTCTATGCTGGGGCAGACGCTCAGGGCCCAAGTGCACAGCTACAAGGTCCAAAGTATTAGTTCATTTGTTCAACAAATGTGTATTAAGTATCTATTCTGGGCCAGACACAATTCTAGGTGTTGGGAACATCTTACACATCTAGGGCTTGTAAAAGACTTGGAAGGCCTCTGCCCTTGTGGAACTTACCTAGTGGCATTAGGAACAAAAGAGAGAGAGAATATCCTCCCACAATGTTGACAGAAGATGGAAAATAACGGCTATTGCAGAAAGCCTGTGCTGATTTCCTGGATCCTGTATATCCAAGAAAGCCACTACTTCAAAATCTGGGTTGCACTGTGGAATAGCTATAGAAGGCCAAAACATGGAAAGAAAAAGGCAGAGAATCAGAGAGAAGCTTCCCTCCTCACCATTCATGGAAGGATCCTTTAGGAGTTTTACCATATTGATCAGGAAGAGTCAAACCCAATGTCTGTAAGTTGATGCATAAAAGCAACAGTAATGACTGTGCCTCTGTCCCATGCTGAAAGAACCCCAAAGATGGACCGCCCAACGTAATAATAGGGAGATAACTAAGCTTCTTTGCTATACAGAGCTCGGTGCTGAGAATTTTACATGTATTGGCTCATTTACTTTTTTTAATCACCACTTGGCGAGATATACACTAATTTTATTCCCATGTGAAGAAAGACCCAGAAAGTTAAGTAAATTGCCCTTGCCCAAGGACACATACCTGGCAGATAATGGATCCTAACTCTGTCTCATACCAAAATCCATGTTCTAAACCACTGCATATCCATTCATAAAATTATTTTTCATCATCTCATTCAAAGGAAAGAGTATTCGTTGAAAAAAAAATAAAGGAAAGAGTATTAATATAGAACAGGAAAATTATTCAGCTATCTTCAGAAAACGGTCTGTATTTTCAGATTATTATCTTAGAAGAAACAAACGTGTCCTATTAGTCAAAAGCAAATACATACCACTTTCTCAAATACATGAGAAATTAAGAGATAAGCCTTTTACAATCGCTTCAATGTACATAAGCCCAACGTCTAATTATTGAATTGAATTATGATTCAAGAATGATTGGAGAGTAGGAGCCGTGGCGGCTGCGGTCATGGTGGTGGTTGTGAGGTGAGGCAGGCCGAGGGGGGGGCAGCCTGAGGAGGGGGAGCCCGAGGAGGGGAGGGCGGGGGCTGGTGGCAGCGGCGGGTGGACTCGCGATAAAAAAAAAATTAAGAAAAAAGAATGATTGGAGATTGGTATTTCATCCGACTAATAAGTTACTGCTCAAAGTGCATTTTACAACCGCATACACTTCCACCTTTGTCCTCTACTTGATAATTGAATTAATAATAAAACAACTAAAATGAAACTGGTTTCGAGAAAACAAGACAGAACTCCATGATGAAGCGTATGCCCCTTTGGGAATGAAACCGTGTCAAAAATCTTTATCAAAACTTCAAAAGTATGGTAATAGAACTGAACTTTGAACAATGGGGAGAGGTCTTGCGTTTGCTTGAAATCATTGAAATTAAATGTAATGAAAAGTGATCAGAGTGCTTATTTTTACTTTGTTTTGTGGGAAATTGTGCTGGGAATGTGGATCTATTGTGCACAAAGGATGTTGGCTTTATGCTGGAACTACCAGGCAGGTTGAGTTGAGAAACAATTAGCTCAGTCAGCAAGCCTTTGAATCTGATTAAGCCAGGAAGCGGGCCCTCCCCACGACAGGGCAGAATGAAGGGAATGGAGGCCGAAATCCAAAACAAGGAATGACTTCTCCCTCTCCCTCCCTCTCTCTCTCTCTCTTTTTCTCTTTCTCTCAGGAAACTAGTATTAGAATTAATTGTATCAAATTTATGTCAAGGATTACTTCATTACAATTCACTATCTTTGGTGAAACAAATGCAAGCTTGTTTCCAAGTAGATCAACAGTCCACATGCGTCATGGCTACTGTCTCCAAGAAACTTCTGTTTACTGAGGCCTGACATACCCTCATGTTTTGGTAACAAAATATCTTTGAGATCCAGGGCCCAAGTCACAGAGGAAGATGCAGAGCCTATCCCAGGCTGCTGGCCGAATTCTCATTTCTCTGGGGACTCTCAGTGTATTCTCTGGAGTTATCGCTTTCTTCCCTGTCTTTTCTTACAAGCTTTGGTTCACAGGATGGAATGTCTGGATTGCTTGCCCCATCTGGAATGGAGCTTTGGTAGGAAAATATTTTATTACATATATTGAGAGAGTATAGAAAGAAGGGAGGGAAAGAAGAAAAAGAATGACGTGTCTTTTTGGGGGTGCTCCTGGGTGGCTCAGTCAGTTAGTTGAGTGTCCGACTCCGGCTCAGGTCATGATGTCATGGTTCACTAGTTCAAGAGCCCCACACGGGGTTCTGTGCTGACAGCTTGGAGCCTGGAACCTGCTTCAGATTCTGTGTCTCCCTCTCTCTCTGCCCCTCCCCCACTCATGCTCTGTCTTTCTCTCTCAAAAAATAGACATTAAAGGGGCACCTGGGTGGCTTGGTCGGTTAAGCGTCCGACTTCGGCTCAGGTCATGATCTCACGGTCCATGAGTTCAAGCCCCACATCAGGCTCTGTGCTGACCGCTCAGGGCCTGGAGCCTGTTTTGGATTCTGTGTCTCCCTCTCTCTCTGCCCCTCCCCTGTTCATGCTCTGTCTCTCTCTGTCTCAAAAATAAATAAATGTTAAAAAAAAAATTAAAAAAAATAGACATTAAAATAATTAATTAATTCATTTCAAAAAAAAAAAAAAGAATGACATGTCCTGTTTAAGTTTTGCAACAATACAAATTCTACAGAAAATTAGATGACTGTAGAACATATATTTCTATTAGTTGTCTCTTAAATGTACAATCTTTCTTAATATCAGTTTATCATATACACTATCACGTGTACTATAATGAAATGCTGTTCAAGAAATTCTTAAAAAGTTGTTTTAATCTTCTCACCTTGGTTTTCTGAGAAATTGGAATCTATCTTTTGAAATTTGAATTTTATTGTTTTAAGTGTTTTTTTTTTGTTTTGTTTTGTTTTGTTTTTAATAATCTCTACCCTCAACGTGGGGCTCAAACTCACATCCCTGAGATCAAGAGTCACATGCTCTCATGACTGAACCAACCAGGTGCCACTAAAATCTAAATTTTAGAAAAAGAAATATGTAAACCATAAAAAATAATGTAAAAAAAGTGGAGAACCGAGTAAAACCATCTTCAGATGAATGCTTTCACTAGAAATACTCAGGTGTGTTGACATGATCCAAGGATTTGCAAGCCCCAAACCTTAGTTCTCCCACATCTTTCTTTGCACGCAACTGTTTGAACTGCAAATAATTCAAGAATTTAGGTGATGTACTTCACTAACTTCACAGTTCATTAGCAAGTGTGCATGTGCCAAATATAAGTAGGCACCAAGTAGCTGCTCCATGTCTATTTACTGAATGACTGTACAAAGGAAGGATTAGACCAGTACCCCAGCCCTCTGCGTCAGAGAAATGAACACACCTAGCCTTGTGAGTAGGTGTCTTCCATGGCGGTATGATTTCAGAGGAGTTACAGAGGCTTGCAACAAATCCTTCTCTCATTGTTTCCTGTGATGCATGACATTCACCATTGAAGACTAGACAATTAGACTTTAAAGCCTTTTGATCTGAAGGAGTTTTCTATTAAAATGTAGCCAGTCTTGGGAGAGGCAACACTTTAAATCTTAAAAAATCTAACTGTAACTAAGATATCACCTAAAAGCAAGACCCTATAAAATATCATTTTAATCTATTTATTAAGTAAATATGTATTGATAACCTACTACATGCTTGAGTTAACAATGGGGGAGAAAAAAAAAAAAAAAAACAAGGTCTCAATTTTTAAAAACTCCATCTAGTGGGACTTAATGATGGTGAGTAGATGGGAGAAAGCCAAATGGTGCGAGTGTGGGACTGAACAAGGAAACACTTTGATGATGTTTTCCTTTTTTCTTTTCTCTTCCTAATTTTTTAAATGTTCATTTATGTATTTTGAGAAAGAGAGAGCAAGTGGGGGGAGGGGCAGAGAGGGAGGGTGAGAGAGAATCCCAAGCAGGCTTTGCACCCTTAGCACAGAGCCTGATTGCAGGGCTCAAGCCCATGAACAGTGAGATCATGACCTGAGCCAAAATTAAGAGCCAGACGCTTAACCGACTGAGCCACCCAGGCATCCCCTCTTTTCTTTTTTAATACATTCTTTTACATCTACCTCCCAGTCTTGCCGGTCTGCTCTTTTCCCCCATCTCCTACCTGAAACCATACGTTCATTCAAAGAAGCAGTTATTAAACATTTACCAGAATGCAAAAATGACAGTGACATTTATTCAAGCAGCTTCCACACTTTTTGTTGATGACCCAGAGTAAGAAAAACATTTTACATCCAGCACCTAGAATGTACATAGTTGCATGTATATAGTTCTCTCTAGATAAGTAGTTAGATTTTGATACATATATAGAAATAGAACAAACAGCTTCAAAAAAAAAAAACAATATTTTACCTTCTGTGTAAAATGAATTGATATTTTCTATTCTATTAATTTTTTTTAATTCTGACTACAGAACTGACCCAGTGTTTAATAAAACCATAATTATAGTCCAACTCTGTATTCCTTTCTTGTAATTCTTTGCCTATCCCTGCAGCCTATCATAGAACATTCAGCAGACACTGAGAGTTGATTAGGATCACAAATTATTGAATATAGATTTGCTCTATGCCAATATCTGTTTTATCAATTACTCCCAGAGAAATGACAAGGTCTGTCTCCAGCATACAGCTAGTTGGTGGCTATTTGATTTTGAGACCAATGGCATAGGGAATTGGAATCCGAAAGGTAGGATTTGGGGAGACGGAGCCTATGTTCAAGTCCTGATTCTGACATTCTTGGTATATGGTCAAGAGCAGGACCCTCACTCAGCCAGTTATGCACTGCTTTACCTATAACATGAGGAATTTTGTAGGTAAAGAGAGTCCATGCAGAGCTGTCTAACCCTAAGATGCTCAGTGAGAATGACCAAATTTGAACAAAGACTGTGTAATAAAGAGCTTCCCCAGTTTTGAAGTTCTACACACATGCTAGTTAATACATGCCTTTCGTCTGTGCTGTGAGTGAGGAAAATTTCTACCCTCCAGGTGCTGGGAGGGTACCCTTCACATGGGGAATTCATTTCCTGATTTCAGGGGCACAGAGGAATGTTCTGGCACCAGTTGCTTAAGTAACTTTAATTCAAAGTAATCAATACACCAAAGTGGCGTATTTGGGGGCTGCCTGCCCTGAATCCCATCCGTGCCCAATATCTGTCCAAACGCTTTGATCCTAACCTCTTGCTGCCTGCTCACTTGCCCATTCCATTCCCTGCCGAGTGGCTGAATTCCCCATCCTGTTAGCTTTGGGACCTCATCTCCTACCACTCTTCCCTTAGCTTATTCCATTCCCTTAGTCATCACACTGGCTCCTTGTTGTTTTCAAATATTCCAAGGTGTGTTTTTGCCTCAGGGCCTTTGCACTATCTGTTCTCTGCCTGGAGCTTCCTCCCACACAAGGTTTATTCTCTAACTTCCTTTTAATTCTTTGAAGAAATATCACTTTCTCATTGATGCCTTCCTTCATTACCCTCATTTCCCTATTTAAAATTGTAAATCTCGGGGCGCCTGGGTGGTGCAGTCGGTTGAGCGTCCGACTTCAGCCAGGTCACGATCTCGTGGTCCGTGAGTTTGAGCCCCGCGTCGGGCTCTGGGCTGATGGCTCAGAGCCTGGAGCCTGTTTCCGATTCTGTGTCTCCCTCTCTCTCTGCCCCTCCCCCGTTCATGCTCTGTCTCTCTCTGTCCCAAAAATAAATAAAAACGTTGGAAAAAAAAATTAAAAAAAATAAAATAAAATTGTAAATCTCAGGGTGCCTGGGTGGTTCAGTCAGTTAAGCATCAGACCCTTGATTTTGGCTCAGGTCATGATCTTATGGTTCTTGAGATCTAGACCGGCATTGGGCCCTGCCCTTGACATCGCAGAACCTGCTTGGGATTCTTTCTCTCCCTCTCTCTCTCTCTGCCCCTCCCCTGCTTGCTTTTTCACTCTATCTCCCTCAAAATAAATAAATAAAACTTTAAAAATAAATAAATAAAATAAAACTGTAAGTCTCTCCCACAACTGGCATCCCCAGTCTCTCATTCCCCACTCTATCCTTTTCCCGATGGTCCTTATCACCATCTAATATACTACATAATGTACTTATTTATTGTTTGTTAATACCCCTCCCAACAAAATGTATATTGTACAACGGTGGGGATTTTTTTTTTTTCTATTTTGTTTACTGCTGTGCCTCCAGCACTTGGAACAGAATGAGTCACATACTAGGTGTTCCATAAATACTGTTTGATAAATATGGTTGAATAAGGGAATGAGTCCGTGCTCAGGTGGTACAAAATGCATCATATCATTGAACTCTCATTAGGTTGCAAGGACTAAAAGTCAAGCCAGTATTCACACTAAAGCAGGACAAAATCGTCATGAAAAGGAAAGCAATAAGAGTGCTCACTCTTTCAGTAATGTCTAAGTTTGGAACAATGTGATTTTTTTTTTCTTTTTCTAGCGAGTTTCCTAGTGAAGCACAGCTCTGTCTGATCGGGGTCAACTACAAAAGGTCTCTGACTCGTGCCACAACTTTCCTTCCTTCCCACTTCTCAATGTGCCTGAAGAGTGAATCTTCCTTTGGTGGAAAGACAATGTGTGCATTTCAATCCTATTGACATTTCCTTTTGCAAATGACTCCATATCCCTTCGGAGACTTAGAAAAGATAGATTTTTACAAGCGGAACAGAACTTTGCATTTGTTCAGTGCCTTCATTTGAGACTTTCTGAATTCTTCAAAGTATCGGTCCTCAGAACTCTCCTCACTCTACTCTGATAGCCACAAGATAAGCAGTTTTCCTAGGATTTCTGAACTAGGTTATTTAAAGGCCATCAGCTGCCAGAAAGTATGCAGCAAGATCACAGTGCCTGATGGACTGGGCTCTACTTGAATCCTGGAAAACGTGGCTTGGCACCCTCCAGTGACTTAGTTAATGGCAAGCAACAGTGCTGTATCCGGAAGCCTACCTGGAGACAGGAACTTGGGGAAAGGTGGGCAAGATGTCCCGTGCAGGTCCCAGTTTCCTCCTCTGTCAGAGAAGGGACTTGATTGTACCATCATCACTCAAACCTCTTATAGCTTCAGTGGTCCTGACATTTCCAAACACCTGATGGCCAATTTCCACTTAGATATCCTAAACTTCTGTAAGCCCGGCTTGTTCCCCCAAAACCATCTCACCACCAAAAGCAGTGATTTCTTCTCCAGACTTTCCTGGCTTTGAACTAGATTTCAAACCCTAGAGTGACTTTTGATTTCAACCCTTCCCTCCAAACTAGTGCTTCTTAAACTGAAATGTACATATGAATCACCTGGGGATCTTGTTAAAATGTACACTCCGATTTAGGAAATCTGGGGTGAGGCCGGGCGCCTGGGTGGCTCAGTCGGCTCAGGTCATGTTAGAGGGTTCGAGCCCCATTTTGGGTTCTGCGCTGTGCTTGGAATTCTCTCTCTCTCCCTCTCTGCCCCTCCCCTGCTCGTGCTCCCTCTCTCTCTCTCTCTGTCTCTCTCTCTCTCTGTCTCTCTCTCTCAAAATAAATAAACATTTTTTAAATTTTATTTACAAAATCTGGGTGAGGCCTGAGACTCTGCCTGTCTCACAAGTTTCCAAGTGATGTCGATGGTGCTGGTCCTAAGACCACTCTGTGCCCTAAACCAACCCACCCCTCAGCCCCCCCTACCCTCCACCCGCGTGATCCAGTCTTGCTGTCTCTTATTTTCCCGTGAGGCATATCTTTATCCATTCTTTCCTCTCATGCTCACTGGGCACCACCTCCCCCTCAACTCCTTACCACTTCCCACCCCCACCCAGGTTTCCATGCCTACATGACTTTGATAGCCAAACTGTGGGAACCCATTCATTAATGAATCATAAAATCCATCTATTGCATAGCTAGCAGCATTTATAAAAGAATAGAATAGAATAGAATAGAATAGAATAAATAGAATAGATAGAAAGAAATGGGGCACCTGGGTGGCTCAGGTGGAGTTGGTTAAGTGTCCAACTTTCACTCAGGTCAGATCTCAGCTTAGTTCATGAGTTCAAAGCCCGTGTCCCGGAGCTCTGTGCTGTGACAACTCAGAGCCTGGACTGTTCATTTGAGACCTCCTGCTCCTCTCTCTCTGCCCCTACCCTCATGCCTCTTTTCTACTCTTCAAAATAGACAAATGTTTAAAAAAAATTTTTTTTGAAGACCTCTGACAGAGCGCCTAGGCCTCACCTCATTCTACCCAGCACACTTGATGGCTTGTTCTTTCCTAGACCCTCTGCTGTGTCCGGTCAACTCCTCCTTCAAAATCCTTCAGTGTGTTCAGCTTTCTGTCCAAACTGGAGCTGAGATATACCCATGATTTTGAGGCCTTCTTCTCAACCTAGCTCTGCATGTGGCTCGACCCTGATTTCCTACCTTTTCTACCTCAGAACCAGAGCTCCTGCCCCTCTGGGCCCCTGTCCACTGTATTGTCCAAGCTGGCATTCCTTCCACCTTACACACATTTCTCCACTGCCCAGATTCTGCCCTTCCCTCTGCCATCTCCTGCTGGAAATACACCCATCCTCAAACCTGTTCGGTCCGCTTTCCCCATGCTGCTTTTCTCACTCACGATCGTTTCCCCTGGAACGAATCTTGTCACCATGGGCCCTTCTCACCTGCAGAGTGTACTAATTTCCCGCCTCATTTTGTGGACTTCTTTACGAGATACATTTTCACATCTGCTGTTCAATGAAAGTTGGAGCCATGTGTATGATTATTACTTGGTGAGCTTGTTTGTCTATTTACTCCTCTGTTTCATCTTTCTTAAAGCCCAGAGGATGACGCCTGATGGCTGCACTGGTCGGTTGAGCGTCCATCCCAGCCAGAGTCACGACTGCGTGGGTTCATGGGGATTCGACTCAGAGCGTCAGGGCTGTGGGCTGATGAATCGAGCCTGGAAGACCCTGTTTCTGATTCTGTGTCTCCCTCTCTCTCTCTGCCCCTCCCTCATGCTTCTGCTCTCTGTCCCAAAAAGTAAATAACGCGTGAAAAAAAATTTTTTTTTTTTAAATAAAAAATAAAAACTAGGAGAAGATCAGGGCACCTGCTGTCCTGTCGGTTAAGCTCCAGCTGGTTTTGAGCTCAGGCCGTGGTCTCAGGTGGTGGTGAGATCAAGCCCCATGCTCTCCATTGAGTGTGGAACCTGTCTTAGATCTCTCTCTCCTTCTGCCCCTCTCTCCCGCTCATGCGCACTCCCTCTCTCTTTAAAATAATAAATAAATAAATAAATAAATAAATAAATAAATAAATAAATAAACAAACTTTTTAAAGTCGGAGAAGATCTCCATCATTATAAGGATTAAATGAGTTATCACATGTAAAATGTTTAGTGTAGTGCCTGGCATACATACAGTAAGGGCTCAGTAAATGTTAATTTATGCTATTATGCCATCTGCAGAGTGCCTATCACATCCCTTGTTGGCAGTAGACTCACAACAGATGTTTATAAGTGAATAAATTAGCCCATATTAAAATGATTCCTCTAGGGGCACCTGGATGGCTCAGTCGGTTAAGCATCTGACTCTTGATTCCAGCTCAGGTCCTGGCCTTGTGGTTCGTGAGTTCGAGCTCCATGTCAGGCTCTGTGCTGTCAGGCTCTCTCTCCCTCCCTCTCTCTCTCAAAATAAATAAATAAAGTGATCCCTCTAAAAGTTTCTATTACTGTTGTGATGCCTCCCCACTTCCTTCAATTCATCTGCTTCTGGGAACCTTTAGTCCTTTACGTCCTTTACAGGGGGCAATTTAAAGATCCTGTGGGAGGGCCCACAATTATCATCCGACCAGAGTGTTAGTTGCTACCGTTGCAAACCCCAAGCAATCTCTCTGGAACTGCCTGTGGAGCAGAAAGCTAGCCTGCTAAGAAGAGTAGAGAGAGAGCAGAGTGCAGGACTGGGCCTTCTCTCCGGGCTCCTATCTCCCCAGGCACCTCCTCTGGGTCCTTTCTGAAACCTGACTGCCCTGTTGTGCCCAGCTCTTGCCTCTCAGACACCGCCTCTCACATTTCCTTTTCCCATTTGACTTCTCTCCCCTACCCTCAAAACTCTTCCTTTTTCTTTCTTCCCTCTTCCCTGTCTAAATACAAGAGTTTAAAAAAGAAAAGAAAGCAAGAAAACAGGAGGCTATGACTCAGGGGACACCCGCCCTCTGTCTCGCAGGCATGCTGGACAGGGGCACCAGGGAAGATGGGTGTGCTCGCCCCTGAGCCACCTCCGTCCACAGGGTGGGTTTCCCAAGTTACTGAATGGCATTCATACACCAGCCTACTCCATGAAAGATCTTTTCAAAGTTTTGTGTAAACAAAGCAAAATTCAAGCTGGCAGCTACAACCAAAATATCAGGCGACTGCAATTCGGCTGCATTTTTCAACTTTTGAAAGGAAAGAAACGGTTCATGCCAAAGTGGTTAAGGCAACCTGGAATCTAAGCGTCTAATAATGTCAGCTCTCTCCTTGGAGTTATACCAGGAGAGGAGTGTCCCCTTTGCTTTTCTCTTGTTTGCCCCTGTGTTTCTCGCCCGTAGAGGAGTAACGTGCCCATTGGATGCCTTTGCCTCTGAAAGCGTAGACTGGCCCCCGGCTCAGCATCAATGTTCAATTGCTCTTAATAATTCTGTTTTGTTGTGCTATTTATGCTGGCTCAACCTCCACAGGGTCCCTTGGAAACTTTCCTCTTGAGAATCAAGCCAACCTCTTTCGACTACAGATGGTTCTGTTTTTATCCACGGGAGTTTTATGGTGTGGCAATGCCACGTCCGGAATTTCAGCCTGAGCCACACGAGAAGTGTTGTGTGAACGTACATGTGCACACTTCTCCCCCACCTCTCTCAAATTCTCCAAGTCGGGCGTTCAAGATAAAATATGCCAGGAAAATGAAAAGCTGGATCTAAAAAAAAAAAAAAAAAAAAAACCAGGCTGGACACAGAAGCTACAAAAGCAGCATATCACAAAACCATATTGGTAGAAGCTCTGATTTCCACCCCCTTAAATTTGTTGATACTATATATACAGTCATGTTTATTTCTCTGTCAAAAACCTAATTCGTAACTGCTTTTACTCCTGCCCTCATTCTATATCTGGTTTCAGGCACGTCTCTTCCTGGTTGTCTCTCTCAACCTCAAAACATTCCCTGACCAGGAACAAATGATTTATGGGTCAGGAATAAGCAGTTTCCAGGCTCAGTGACCACAAAAGGTCTCCTTCACCAGACCCGGAGCTGAATCAAAGATGAGCCCAGAATTCTTTTTTCTTTTTCATTATATATTGCCCTGACACCATTCCCTCCTTTGTTGAACTATTTTCATTCTGCACTTTGGGTCTTTTTCCCTCAACGGAGGCTATTAAAAAAAACAAAACAAAACAAAACTTTTGAAAAGCTGAACACCAGTGCACCCAGAACAATTAATGTCCCACCATGCATTCACTCTAATTATAATCTTTGTTACTTGAGAAACGGAGATCACATATTTGCATCCCACCAGTAGGCTGAGGCTCCTGAATCTCAAAAGAAAAGCAAAGAGTAAAAGATAATGCTGTTGCTGGGCAAGTTTTCAGGGTTCTGTGACACATTTCCTTTCCGGTTCCTCCCATTTGTAATTTTAGCAATTTGTGGGAAAGATGAATGATAGACAATTAATCAAAATAAAACATATGGCAAGGGTTATAAAGCCAAGCTTTTATTGCAGTGACACCTTACAGTAGGGGAGGTTATAATTGCAATGGCAAAGGCAACACAGAAAATAAAAAAAAAAAAAAATGAGCTTGTATGAATCATGTCTTTATGACACTGATGGCTTTTTTCTTCATTGTCATCCCAGATGAGGAAGAGATCAGAGCCATAAATCCATTTAGCCATTTGCTGTTCTTTCTAGTTCATAATAAAGTTGTCAAACCGTGAGACAGATTGAACTCTTTCCAGAGGTACATTCTATCATGGATATTATTTTTCCATTTTCCTTTCACAGGCCATCATGACCGGTATACTTCTGCTGGTGGCTCACAAAGAGTGGACCAAGAGATACCTGGTAAATATATAGACCTTGAGTAGGATGGTTGAATAGGTTGGAAGGTCAAACCTCTACCAGTTCAGGATGGAACATAGAGAATGTGATTTCCAATTACAATTGAGTTCCTTCTGATTGATGCCTTACTATGACGGATTTCAGTAATAAACTGGCTTTAAATGAATATTTTTTATTTTTATTTTAGAGAGAGAGAGAGCATGAGTGGGAGAGAGGGAGGGAGAGAGAGAGTCTCAAACAGGCTCCACTCTCAGCTTGGACAGAGCCCGATGCAGGGTTTGATCCCACAACCCTGGGATCATGACCTGAACTGAAATCAAGAGTCAGACGCTCAACCAACTGCCACCCAAGTGCCCCTTAAATGAATAATTTATATCTGATTTCTTCTCCAAACACTTTCTACAAGTTCCTGCGATTATTGTAAATATTTAAGTATTCCAATTTGGAGAGGACAGAACCAATGTTATGCTCCCAAATTTCATTCTGAATAAATGGATCTATAGGCTCCTCTGTTTTTAATAATGTATGTTTAAGTCTCAACTCCTCAGCTTGGGATGTCCTTCCGCTGTCTCTGTTACTTCTCCCCCCCCCCCCAAAAAAGGATGGGAAGTCTATGATATATTGCACTTCAATAGTAGGGAGCCAAGTAATCCCAGGATATAGAAAGACTACTTTGTTCTGATCATAGATCTTCCCATGGCTCAAATAAGTGTGAGTCACCTGGGAATCTGGTTAAAATGTAAATTCTGATACAGTAGATCTGGGGGAGGTATGAGATTCTACATTTCTAACAAACTTCCAGGGATGTCAGTGCTACTGGACCACGGACCATGCCCTGACTAGCAAGGTCCTAGGATAAGGCAGGGATTCTGGTATTCATCTTTTTCCCACCGTAAGCTGGCTCTTAACACATGATAGAAGATAAATAAACACATGTTTGTTGAATGGAATTCAATTAGTTTTTGGCTCAGTTGGCTGATATGTTATTCTCCCAGAGTGTAGATTCAAGAAGAGAATAAAAGGGCCTAAAGAGAAAATTGTAACCCATTTCTCCTTCACTTCCCAGTAAAAGAGATTAATATCCAACAACGCTTTCTTTCTCCACATCGCTGAGAAGCTTTTGAAGAATCTAGTTTCCAAAGTAACAATTTATTTTTGTTTTATTTTCAGTGGGAAGCTAGTTTCACCTTTGTGATTCTAAGCATTATGGGATGTCCACTTCATTTTGCGATAGCCTTGGAATCTGCTCTCCTTGGTCCATATTGCTTCTACTCGCTTTCAGGGATTGCGGGGACCGGTTACCTCGGTTATGCAGTTGCCTTCCCTTTTCCATATGCAAAATTCCCATCAGCTTGTGTGGACCCACCACACTATGAAGCGTACCACCTGACGCTTCAAGCCTTCGACCTGTGCCTGAGCTTCGCCATGTTCTGTGTGTCCCTGACAGTATTCATCAAGCTTTCTGCAGGACTTATCTGGAATAGACACATACATGTAAGTTTTCAGAAAGGGGGAACCAGTTTTTTCCATCCTGAATGCTAAAATGGAAAGTCTGCCATGTTAGTACCTGATCTGTCTCTCTTACTTATCACTGTATCTTTTATAATCAGACTTTTCCCACTATTTCTACTTCTACTCCAGCAAAGAGGCTGATATACACCAACAACAAATTTACCTTTCTAACTTTTTCTAAGATGGCTAATAAGAATATTAATAATATTTGGGGCATCTGGGTGGTTCAGTCGGTTGGGCGTCCGGCTTTGGCTCAGGTCATGGTGTCACGGTTCGTGGGCTCAAGCCCTGTGTCGGGCTTTGTGCTGACAGCTCAGAACCTGGAGCCTGCTTCAGATTCTGTGTTTCCCTCTCTCTCTGCCCATCGCCAGCTCACATTGTCTCTCTCTCTCTCTCTCTCTCTCTCTCCCTATCTCTCTCAAAAATAAACATTAAAAAATTTTTTGAAGAATATTAACAATATGATAGTAATAGAAGTATGAACTGAATGTTTACTATGTTTCAGTGTACTTCCCATTTCACACATAGTAGACTATAGCTAAAAAATGATGTAATTTGAGGGCTCCTGAGTGGCTCCGTCGGTTATACTCCCAACTTCGGCTCAGGTCATGATCTCACGGCTTGTCTGTATGAGCCCCACGTCAAGCTCTATGCTGACAGCTTAGAGCCTGCTTCAGATTCTGTGTCTCCCTCTCTTTCTGCCCCTCCCCTGCTCATGATTTATTCCTGTATCTCAAAAACAAACAAATATTAAAGAAATAAAAAGAATTATGTAATTTGCCCAACATCACACAGCCACTGAGCAGGAGGACCAGATTCAGAACCCAGAGCTATTTTTCTTAACAGTTCAGATTTATCCTGGGCTTCTCGTCACCCACATTGTATCCTCTCTCCTTCGCTAGACATCAAGATGCATAATTCTGGCCTCCAGGAGGGTTAGAGCAGGATCAACTGGGAGAACAGTACAAGTGATTTCTGATTCCAAATTCCTACATCTGATATGGGTCACTCCATTGTGGGTTGAACAGCCTCCTCCTGGAAAGAGGTATTTCCCACTGCAAACTCTTATACTGGCTTGATGATTCAAGTTAGTTTTATATTAAGGTCAGGTGAATTTGAGTTATGTTAGCCATTTTTTTTCCCGGTTTGATCATATCAGCACAGATCAGCAAAGCTGGAAGACAAGAACTTGGCACTCTCAATACCTTTTGTGGTCAGTCTTGTCCTTTCAACTTCTACATAAGTCTGCAAAGGAAATCCTGTACATTCTTAGGAACAGAGTTGATTTTGCAAGGAGGCCCACTGAGAGTTGAGGCTAGTAGACCAAAATGACCTCCCCTGCTGTACTGCCAGTGCATCTAGAAGTTTAGTATTTGAAATTTCTCCCTTGTGGGGACTATCCCAACTTTCTAGAGCCCTTTTGTTAAAAAGAACATAAACCCAGGAGAACTACACATTAAAGTGTTAGCGACCCATAACTCCTTGGCATCAGACATCTGGCTGCCGTCTTTGGGCATGACACCTAAAGTTTAACAATGGATGGAGGTCAGCGAGAAAACTATGAAAAATTATGTCCAGAGCTTGGTAAGCCAGCCTCATGGAAACCCAATAGTGAAGCCACCTGAAGTTCCTGGAAAGAGAAAAAATTCATTGAGAACAAAGCAAAGTTCTCTAAGTTTAGAATTTTGCCTTTGCCCATCTTGCTCAAAACAAGTGATTTCTAAATTAAGTGTGTAATTTCTAAATTGGATGCAAGATCCAACACAACTACAACATGTTGCTCAATGTGGATCAATAACATCAAAATCACCCAGGGTTCTTATTAAATCAGATTTCTGGCTTTCATCCCGGCCCACTCTTGTGGCAGAAACTCAGGGGTTGGAGGCAGGGAATATGCATTTTTAGCACATGCCCCCAAGAGATTCTGCTAAAAATTCTCTTCCTAGCACAGGATTCTCTTAGTGTCACTTCTGGACAGAATCTCAGTTTTCCCATGTGCATAAAATGCAGCACGAGTTTGGGTGAAAGCTCTCGATAAATTTAACAAGCAGCAAATCTTTGGTGAGCGTTTTTGGATGATTTGACACCACTTAATCCATGGTGGTGGCATATCATGTTTCATTAGCAAGGATGAGTGGCTGACATAATGGGATATGAGGTTCTGTATTAATAAATACACCACCGCCTCCCCGAGCCCACAAGGAGCATGTGCAGCTTGAGCAAACCTTTGTTACCATGTTACCATGTAGAGATCTCAGTGATACTAGGCACAGTTTCCAGCAGTGAAATAATGTATTGTTTGTCAAAATTCTAGAAAACATATAACCTTCTCAGAAGAAATGGCAGATCACTGGTCAGGATATAGAATTCTACATGGTGATTCTGCATTTAATGAGCCTCCAGAGAGTTTTGATGTTAGGTTCCCTATGTGCTGGAAGAGACAAATCATATTTTTAAAATTTTATTAAAAATTATAAATTTATTAAAAGCTATATAAATACTGTAAAATATGCTGCTGATTTACTCTTCTTTCATAAATGTATCAACGTAAATATGCATATGTAAATACAGGAATATTTATGCATGTAAATGTATGTAAATATCAGGAAAATCAAAAGCTGTGAAAATTTGTAAGAAAGAAGAAAGTGATAGTTTAAAGGAAGATTTGGGGGAAATTGTATTGTGTTAGAGAATAAAATCCTTTTTTTTCATGTATGTAATAGTCAATCTCATGATAGAAAATATTCACTTCTAAGAGTTTTTCTGTAAGTCTGAAAACATGTTTTCAGAAATTTATCAAACAGTCCCTTAGGAATCACCATATTCATCATTTCTCTCTTCCCTGTGCCTTTTCACTTTAGGAGAATTGAAGTCACCTTGCATCCCAGGCAACTCAAACTATTATAACAAGATACCATAGACTTGGTGGCTTAACCAACACACATTTATTTCTCATGGTGTAGGAGACTGGAAGCCCAAGGTCAGATTTCCAGTAAGGTCGATCTTCACTGAGGCCTCTTTTCCTGGCTTGTGGATGTCACCTCACTGTCCTCCCTGGGCCCTGCTCCTGGACAGAGAACTCTGTCCTCTTCTTATGAGGACACTAATCCCTTCATGGGGGTCCCATCCTCATGACCTCATTTAAATTTAATTTTCTCCCGAATGACTCACGTCTATATACCATCGCAGTGGGAAGTAGGGCTTTAACATAGTGATTTGGGAGGAAGACGCTAACAGTAGATAGCATCTGGTTGAGGGTCACACAGTGTTGGTGTGTGTGCGTATGCAGTCAGTTGGTCCCCAACTAAAACCACAGTGAGAAATGCTTGAAAGAGGCATAAAAGGTTTTGCTTTATGATGATTTTGATAAAAGCATTATATGAGTGCTACAGACTGAATGTTTGTGTCTCTGAAAAATTCATGTTGAAGCCCTAACCCCCCTCCCCCCTCCCTCCCCCCCCTCACCCCCTGCACTGTGCTGGTATTAGGAGGCGGGGCCTTTGGGAGATAATTAAGTTTAGTAAGATCAGGAAGGTAGAGCTCCCATGATGGGATTAACTTCATGATGCCCTTATAAGAAGGTGAAGAGGCCAGAGTCCTCTCTCTCTCCACCACATAAGGATACAGCAAGAAGGTGGCCATCTGCCAAATAGGAAGAGGGTTCTCACCAGATGCTGAATCTGCTGACACCTTGATCTTGGTCTTCCAGCCTCTAGAACGGTGAGAAATGTTTGTTGTTTAAGCCACCCAGCCTATGGTAGTCTGTTACAGCGGCCCAAGCTAAGACCACAAGCCCTTCCAAATTTTCCAGGGCCTCATGGGAGGAGCTGGAGCTGGAAAAGGAGTAAGTCCCCGCTTCTGTGGCTACATGAAACACCATGAAGTGACCCTGTGGGCTTAGGACTCAGTGCAGGGGACAAAGGAGCACCGCATAAGATTAAGTTGAGACACTAAAACGCAAAACAACCATAGCCGAAATTGTCTACATTCTTGGTCCAGTAAGTAATAAAGTGATGGGAAAGGAAAGAATTGGGACGCCAGACGTGCTGCAGCTGTCCCCTGCAGCTACTCCGCCCCTCCCCCACGGAATGGAATGGCTCCCTGTGTTTTCCTTTCATTATTCATTGTTATGTTTGGGGTTTTGTTTTTTTGTTTTTTTTTAATGAAAGGGGAAAGAAAATATTTTCCCCCTTGACATGTGATACAATGGTTTTATTTTTTTTTTTCTCAATGAATTGAGAAATATTTGCTTCCCATAAAAGATGTAGGTAAGCCCTCGAAACAGTGAAAAAACATATGAGGACAGAATATTTATCAGTGGAGGACCATCTTCCTCCAAACACAAGACAAATCTGCAGAAATATATTGGCTTCAAATCTTCTAGCGGATGTACCCTGCATCATCAGCAATAGCAATGTGTTTTGCCATAAATTCATCCATGACTCTCATCCTAAAGGTCCGAGACCTCATGTTGGGCTACACCAAGGTCTTTCTGGTGCTTCTGGGAACTAAATCCCCTTGGGGAAATCCAAGTAAAACCTCAAGTAGGACCACACAGCAGTCAGAATGCACTGTATTTCTTCCTCACGAGTTCCTTTATGTGGTCTCCTCAACTTGGTCAATAGAAAAATCAGAATCTAGAAAAATAATTGCAATCCAGGGCATTAGCATTCCCTTGATCTCATTATGTTCTCTGGAATAATAATGCTGGTGAGTAGTAACAGAGTGATTGTAGGTGTATTTACTGGGCAGTGACTACTTGTCAGGGGCTTTACCTCCTTTCTTCCTCACAACACTGCAAAACTCATTCCCCCCCTTTCACAGATGAGGGCATTGAGCCTGCCATTTGGAGTCAGGATTCGTTCCTGGTCTCAAAGGGTCTGGAGGCCAGGCTCCACCCTGCTGAGCCACACCTTTTGGAGAGTGTATTCAGTTTTACAGACTCCGAGTGGCTTTGCATAGGCATGCATTTTGTGGACAGTCTTTCTTATGTTTCTCACAGACAAAAATTAACTCACATATCAGAAATGGAAGCTATTTTTTCCAGGATATTTTCATTTCATTTAATCAGCAAGACGATGCCAAGGGTGATAGCAACTTGCTAAGAGAGGAAATGAGAGGGAAGTGTCTATTGTGATGTATTAAAATAAGCTTGATATTTTGTCAAAGCAGAAGAAATAGATGAGGCAGTAACCTGAAAACTGCCTTTTGTCAATTTTTATTTTATAATCATTGTGAGTATCAACATATTTTCCTTTTGACAGTCAGTTTAATCTTTTAATATAAAATATCCTACTAGGGTTTTTTTTTTCCTTGTTCCTTACTTTTAATCTAAAATATTATTATGGGGACACTGGGGTGGCTCAGTAGTTAAGTACCTGACTTCTGCTCCAGTCAAGATCTCACAATTCGTGGGTTCAAGCCCCGCGTCAGGCTCTGTGCTGACAGCTCAGAGCCTGGAGCCTGCTTCAGATACTGTGTCTCCCACTCTCTCTGCCCCTCCCCTGATCATGCTCTGTCTCCTCTCTCTCTCTCTCTCCCTCTCTCTCACTCTCTCAAAGATACATAAACATTAAAAAAAAATTTTTAACGGGGGCGCCTGGGTGGCGCAGTCGGTTAAGCGTCCGACTTCAGCCAGGTCACGATCTCGCGGTCCGTGAGTTCGAGCCCCGCGTCAGGCTCTGGGCTGATGGCTCAGAGCCTGGAGCCTGTTTCCGATTCTGTGTCTCCCTCTCTCTCTGACCCTCCCCCGTTCATGCTCTGTCTCTCTCTGTCCCAAAAAAAATAAATAAACATTGAAAAAAAAAAATTAAAAAAAAAAATTTTTAATGTTATTATTATGAATATATTTTTCAACAAACTTTAAATGCTGTATTTAAAACAAATAAGATATATATTTAAACCACAGAAGAAAGTTTTGCTTTCTAAAAGAGCAGAAACTTGAGCAGAAGTCAGAAACCTCCATTCTCTATAATCATATGGTGCCAATATGTGAGCACAAAGCCATTTAGGGAGGTAACAATGTTGGCTGGACACTTTGCATTGTATTAATTAACGAAGAGAATATGCAGTGGCTGTTACTGGGCACCTGAGTTCATTCCCCCAGGAAAGAAGAGAGAGACCCACGAGCAAAGTAATAGGGTGACACACAATCAAGGCTATGAGGATTGAGGAATGACACAACGTCACTTCCCTCCCAAACAGGCCCTACCAGCCAGCAGGGACAGTGGGTAAGGCAGCAGTTCACCCCTGCACACATCAGTAGTTGTGGACTTGAGCTTCCTCATCTCTAACACCACAGGGCTTGGCCAGCCACGTCCAAAGACCTTTCCAGATCGGTCTTGGTCTGTGATTTTCAAATAAAACTTTATTCCATTGGGGAAGATTAACACTCAGAAGGGAGGACTGTCAGCAACCAGGGGTGGCTCTTCACCTGTCCTAAGCCATGTTGATGTGTCGCTGGGGTACCCCACATAGCCCTTACCCTGCTAGCTCCAGAAGGAATATACACCAGGGACACCTGGGTGGCTCAGTCAGTTAAGTGTCCAACCTCGACTCAGGTCATGATCTCACAGTTCGTGGGTTCGAGCCCTGCATTGGGCTCTGTGCTGACAGCTTGGAGCCTGGAGCCTGCCTCAGACTCTGTGTCTCCCTCTCTTTCTGCCCCTACCCTGCTCTCTCTCTCCCTCTCTCAAGAATAAAATAAACATTAATTTTTTTTAAAAAAAAAAAAGAAGGAATATGCACTAGCAATGTTATCCAGTCAAGATGGATATGAGAGTTGTCACAGATTTATATATCGCTTTAACCACTTTGGGAAAACAACTTTCTTTGCTCAGTATTCGGTCTGTCATATCAAACCAACCAGAATTATCTTGTTGGTTGTCTTTTTTTATGATTCAGGTAAAAGTAATATATCGTGTTACATTAATTTTAGGTGTATGATATAATGTTTCAGCAATACTATGTATTTTCTCAGTGCTCATCAAGATAAGTATACTCTTTGTGCACTTGATCCCCTGTATTTATTTCACCCATTCCCCTACCCACCTTCCCCCTGGCAAGCCACCAGGCAGCCACCAGTTTGTTCTTGTGTTTAAAAGTCTGTTTTTCCATTTGTCCCTTTTTTAAATTTGTTTGTTCATTTTGTTTCTTAAACCCAACATAGGAGTGAAATTGTATGGTATGCGACTTTCTCTAATTGACCTATTTCACTCGGCATTATACCCTCTAGATCAATCTGTGTAGTTGCAGAACTTAACCATTGTTTTACCAAATAAGTAAGGAGTTTTAAACTCCAGTTTATGTGCAAAAAGGTTGTTCCAAATGTTTTTCTTCTCTTATTTCATATAACTAACCTAGTGTCATGGATAAGAAAGAAAGCTGCTAGTTAAAGCAATAGAATTGATAAGCACTGGATGGTAATTAGTACCTATCTGACAAGAGGAGTATCTTGTGTTCACTAGTATATGACTTCCCTCCTATCACGTGTTGAAGAATCTGATTCCAAAGCCCTAAATACAACACTCATTATTTATACTTGCCCCTCAACATTTAGTGAACGTATATTATTTGCCATATACCATGCTAAAAGCTGAAGGGTAGAGACAGAAGGATAAGCAAGACATATTCTGGTCCCCCATTGACTTACAGGGACTGAGGGGAAATGTCACCTGCACCAGAAGGACCAGGAGCCCACATGAGGAATAATGAGATTTGAATTAGGTAGTGTTAGTGGATATGGAGAAGAGGTGAAATATTTGAAAGATATTTAGAAGGTAGGATCAACAGAACTTATTATCAGTTAGCATGAGGAATAAGGGAAGAGCTCAGGAAGATGCAAAGGGGTTTCTTTTTTTTTTTTTTTTAATTTTTCTTTAATGTTTATTTTTCTTTTTGAAAGAGAGAGAAAGAGAAAGCGTGAGCAGGGGAGAAGTGGAGAGAGAAGGAGACACAGAATCTGAAGCAGGCTCCGGGCTCTGAGCTGTGAGCATAGAGCCCAATGAGGGGCTCAAACTCACAAACCATGAGATCATGACCTGAACCAAAGTCAGATACTTAGACTGAGTATCTGAGCCACCCAGTCACCCCATGGGATTTCTTGACCATGAGAGACAAGACAGAGTCCTTGGATTTAATGTGTGAGTCCTACTTTTATCACTTAGGGTTTCATAGCCCATCATTAATAAAAAGCCATTTTAAGAACCTAATAGAAGGCATCAAAAGGACTTCTTCCTGGGGTTCAACCCAATGAGGTACTGAAGCTTGCCACTGGACACTCCATGGCTTTCGTTGGTTACATACCAGATCCAAATGATGCCTTGCTTTGAGTTCATAATAAACCTAGTGCTGAAGAGCACGGGCTATAAGAACAGTTTCAATCTAGGCCATATTTAACAACTTATCTCTTCATTTCTTCTACTGACACTCTTATGGCAAAGGCTGCCAATGAGCAACCTGTACATAGCCAAGCCCAGTGGAGTCTTTTCAATCCACATTTTCCTTGACCTCTTCACAACCTTTGAAACTATTGACCACTTTCTCCATGAAATCCTCTCCCCTCTGACTTCCATGGACCATTTGCTTTGGTTTTCTTCCTTTCTCCTTGGTTTTTCCTTTTCAATCTATCTGATGGCTCCATTGCTCTGCTGAATCCTTAAAGGCTAGTGGCTTCAGTTATCACCTTTGGGCTGATACCTTACACATCCATGTCTATAGCCCAGTTCCTTCTCCTCCTCTAATGAGTTCCACATCTGACTATTCTCTGGACACTCTCCTGGGGGTCTCACAGACACATCAAACTCAAGATGTTTATAATGGTGCTGATCATCTCCTTGTCCCCAACACCTGCTCTTCTTCCTATAAATCCAGCTCAGTTGCCAGCAGTCCTGGTGACACTCAGGACAAGCCTGAGACTTGGAATCATCCTTGACTCCTCCCACCTGAGCTGATCACCATATCCTGGCAGCTACACCCCTTATTCACTGTGTCCCCCTTTCTCTGTACTGATCAAATGGCCCTGGCCCAGCCCTCCATCTTCTCTCACTCAGACATCTTTGCTTCCAATCTTGTCTTTCTTGAGAAGTATCCTCCACACAGGCTCTAGACTGAACCTTCTGAAGTTCCAATGTGCTCTTGTTACTTTCCTGCTTTACATCCTTCCGTGACTCCCCTTCACACTCAAGATACAGCCACGCTCCTCTATGTGACATTCATGTGTGTGTAGCTCCTTTCCAAGAATATGTGTTCCTTGAGAATGGAGACTGACTAAAGTGAGCTAAATGGTGGGACTGGGAGTATGAGACTCAGAAGACAGGAGAGTAGCAGGTGGCAATACCAGATGCCACGTTTACGTATTCCTAGCCGGAGCTAAAATCTTACCTCACTCTATGTCAGGAATATTTCAAATTTAAAAGCAATTCACACAACATGCAGGAATTTACTGTGGTCATGGACTCCAAAACCGAGCTCCAGGAAGGAATACAGAGGAAAAGTAGATATGAACTTCCATACCAAGGAAAAGTGCCTTATTGAAGAATTGCTT